TCAGATTATACAGTCACGTATAACAAGACACACAAAGCCTCCTAGTGAAGGACTCTGAAGAGGTCTGTCGTGTTTCTTCATATCCATACATTTATACCACAACAGTGTAAAACTACCCCATGCACTCAAAATGTTAGTAAACATATTACTTAAAGTACTGATGCACAATGGCCCCTGTTAGAGGGCATTTCCAGTAACAGTTAAAGTGGAGCTATTTTATTTTTTATCTAGTCAACATAATGTTGGGTAGTTAAACAAGGCATCATATTTAATAAGCTAATTATACGTTTTTGTATGTATGTAATTAACACACTATAGCTGTCACATAAATATAATTGCCCTAAAAAGTGCAATATTTGCCTGTGAATTGTAGTATAATACAAGTATATGTAACATACAACGAAAGTGCTCAAAGAACAAATACCTCAAAAGCCGATATTTCTTTTACTGACCGTGTTCAAGGTTTCATATCTATGTGGAATTTACATGTGATCATGACCATGTGAGAACAATCAATGTTACTACAGCACAGTAGAGTCAGTGTGGTTACAGTACGCCACTACCAAACAGGATCAAATCGTACTTATCCTCCACCTGCAGCATTAATACACCTCTTGCATGTTATGATTTAACACTAATCTCATATCAGTCACATCCAACCGCAGCCTTGATGAACATTTCAACAGGAAATCATACACTCGGCAGAATCTTTTCAGGTGTTTTACAAGGTGTTGCGTTGCTATGGCTTCTCACCAGTGTGGGCTCTTCTCATGTGGACCAACAAGCCACTGCAACAGCTGAAATCACTTCCACACATTTTACAGAGGTACGGCTTCTCGCCCGTGTGGGTTCTCATGTGGACTTTCAAGACACTGTGGAGTCTGAAGTCTTTGCCACACGTTTTGCACGAATAGGGCTTCTCGCCCGTGTGGATTCTTATGTGAGCGTTCAACTCTGATGTCCGACAGAATCTTTTCCCACACGTACTGCAGGAGAACGGCTTCTCGTCTGTGTGGATTCTCATATGCCTCTTCAGTGGCGGCATGGTGCAGAATCTTTTCCCACAGGTCTTGCAAAGGTACGGCTTCTCGCCCGTGTGCGTCCTCATGTGAACTTTCAGGGGACTGCTGCACGTGAAATCCTTCCCACATGTCTTGCACAAATATGGCCTCTCGCCCGTGTGGATTCTCACGTGAGTTTTCAGCACCGACATGTAACCGAATCCTTGTCCGCAGAACTTGCAAAGGTACGGTTTCTCACCTGTGTGGACGCTCAGGTGTCTCTGCAATTTCGACTTGAACTCGAAGGCTTTTCCACAAGTGACACACTGGAATGACTTTTTACCTGTGAGAGAGCTTCGGTGAATCTCTGATGAGTTCGAGTTGTATTCGTTGTTAGTGTGACTTTCACTTTTGTTATATGTTTTCTTTGGTTCTGGCTCCGGATCTCTAGTTGATCCTGAGTCCTCATGCTTGACCTCTTTCTGATCTCGGCTCTCAGCTACACGAGGAGTTGCTAAGGAGAGGAGGCTGGTGGTCACTTTCCTCATAATCAGGGAGTCAAACATTTGAAGGTGTTCAGTCTCCCTCCTTCAGCTCATAGCTGCCTCCCTCCTGACTGTGCAGAGCTCCTCCTCTTCCTCTTTAAATCTAGTGGAGTTCTGCCCGGTCCTTTGTCCACACTGGAGCTCCTCTCCTGATTACAAGAGCTGCTTTGGTCAGCGAGCACCTCTCCTCCTCCTCGCTCCTCTCCTGTGTACAGACATGTTGCTTGTGGGGAGCTTCTGGAGGGACAGAGAACAACAACAACAAAATAAATGGATACTAAACTAGGGGATGGTAAAAATAAAAATAAAGACAAGCCAGCAAACTACCAGTAGGTTATATATCAACACAACTGGGATTATAGATAAAGGAACATGTTGTGAAAATTTAAATTAATTTAGTTTACACACCTATCCAGGTGATAACTTTATTCAGGGTTCCACACAATGTCCAAGCCAGTCTTCGCTGAGACTGATCTCTTCCTCATACTGGGACGGATAGTTGTTTCAAACCACTCTGAATATTTCCTCAGCGCAGCAGTCAGTCTCTCGGTGGACAAACTCTTCTCAGATTGTCCACTGAAGACATTGTTGTTACAGATCAAACACCCAGCTCGCTGCGACTACAGCTATCATCTTTTCCAGCGGTAATTCAAACAGCGTTTTATTGTTTCTTCCGCTACCTCACAGTGTCAGTTTCCGGCAGGCGGAACTTTGGAGCTTTTCGTTCCGCTTTCAGTTCACTGTTAGTTGGACAGCTGTCTTTAACACCACGTTGTTTTCCTTAGTTTTCTGTTTTGATTTTAATATTTAACTGCCAGATTGTTCATTTCGTTCTGTTTTGTTTTTTTATTGGATGAAAAATGTACAAACATTGTACAAAATATAGTGATCAGTGAAGATATAGACGTAGATAGATAGATAGATAGATAGATAGATAGATTAGATTAGATAGATAGATAGATAGATAGATAGATATATAGGATAGGATACTTTATTACAATATCAGTACCATACAAAATACAAAACATACATTAAACATTTAAACAATTTTTTTTTTCATTTTGCTCTTGTGCTGTCTCTCCTTTAGTTCAGTCTCTTGTGTTCTAGCTGATCCTGAGTCTCCGTGCTTGGCCTCCTTTGTGATACTTGGTTCTCGGGTACACAAGAGTTGTAAGAGAGGAGCTGCTTGCGTCAGTGTTTGGTTAACTGGAGCTGACAAATAGTCTCTCCTCAGCTGCAGTCTAAGTTCGTGATTTAAACACACTGGCTTGATCTTCACTTGTTGGTCACCTTTCCTCAATAAGCAGGAGTCAACATAAAAGTCTGCTATACATGCACTGATCATACAGCATAGATGATAATTTCAGTCCTTCGCCACCCCGTGGTGACAGGCAATAAAAAATAAATCTTTCTATATAAAGAAAGAATAAAAAGTAAACAATCGAAAGACATAAGTAAACAATCAACAATTTTAGCATACATAAATAACATCAACAAGGACATAAATAAACCTGCAATTAAGAAAGTCAACAATAGGTAAGGCACTTACTTAAGCCACTCATGGTATTTACATGGTGAAATAAAATAGGATAAAGTGTCAGTTCTCCTCCTTCAGCTCAAGCTGCTCTCCCTCCTGACTGTGCCAAGCTTCCTCCTCCTTCCTCTTAACTGGTGAGGCTCTGGGTTTTCTCTGATCCACACTGGAGCCCTTTTCTCCTGAATACCAGAGCTGCTGGTCAGCGAGCAACCTTCCTCCTCCTCTCCTCTCCTCCCTCCTCCTCCTCTGACAGATATTTCTGCCTGTGGGATCTGGAGCGGACAAGAGGAAGCTGGTGTGATGGGGAGAAAAAAGATCAAATGGCATACAGTCTTAAAAACTATTAGGATGTTTACGTGATCTCCCAGCATTCCCTGTCGGTCCACCACTTTGGTCCAGCCTATCTCACAATCTACAGTACAGAGTGGACTGCCATGAATCATACACTCATGTATTTAGATTAATGGGAACTAACTTTAGCGATTGAGTATTTTATTAATGTTGACAATACTGCAAACGAATGACATTTTGCCACAGCTTGTTTATTTGTCTTAATGCCAGATCACTGGCCAACTGAAGCATGCAAACAGGCTGATGGACAAAGAAAGATGTGCTTATTCATTATTGTTGTTTTTATATTTACCTTTGTTTTGTATGCATGAGTATTGTGCTTACTGGTTGTTGATATGCTGGTTCAAAACGATCATTTCACTGTATTGACATATTTGTACAATGTTTGTTTGTACATCTGAAATTTGATCCCAAAAAAATGAGGTTTGCGTGTTTCCGGGGGAAACATATCAGAGACGGTACAGCTTCCTGTAGCAGGTTACTAGTGCTGGCTAGCCTATTTGCGTTTTACCCGAACAGGTGAATTAGAAAGAAAGAGCAGATGTTTGTTTTTACAGATGTTTGTTTTTAGCTGTAGCTGGTTTCCTGCTCCGTTGTCTCAATGGGGGCGCATTACTGTGCCATATGTAGGCAAACAACATTCACTGGGAAGGGACATATCTTCGGGAAAAATCACCAAAGCAGACTCAGAGTGGTTCTCCTCAAGTTTTTAGAAAAGGTAAGTATGTTAGTGTAAGGTGATTCTTACTCGTGTTTAATATTTTGTGCTCATTTTTCACACTTTGCTGAACCCGTTTGCGTTATTAGCCCTGAAGCTAACGTTAGCAGCGAATCATCGTATGTTTTTTATTTTGTCTCGTACACTCACCGAGAATGTCTGTCTGTTGTTTGTGGGGTTTTGTGTGCAGTTTATTTAGTCTTTATAATGTACATTATTCATTTAATGGCTATGTCTTGAATTAGTCGTTTTTATTTTTATTTAGCTCACCATCGTTGCTTTTCTTTCCTGTCTTGTGTGTTTATGTGTGACCGGTGCTGCTAGTCTGATGAGATACACTTGCCATTTTGTTTCTCCTCATCAATTCAGTGGCATAACAAGAGGTGGAAAACTAGTAGAAAACACCTGTAAATATAACCCAATATAACTCAACAAATCCTCCAAAATGACCTAAACAGACCTTCATGAAGGGAGGATTCATTACAGCTGTTTTATGAGACTGCATCAGTTTTAAGTGTAACTTTTATGTTTCTGTGTTTGTTTCATCCACTGTCTCCCAGGTGAAGGAAGCTCGACGAACACTTAAAAAACCCCAAATAGAAAAGTTTGATTGCACCCAGCACAAGCAGACATTCTGGTGCTACTGCTGTGGGCTTGAGATTGAAAGAAATGTTACAGACGGCAAGATGACTGTGCTGTACGGAGGCTTGTTAGAACACATGGCCACGTAAGTTTTATTTCATTTGCTTTTATTTAACTTTATTTTATTTTCCCAGATTTTCTGCTTCACCTTCATTCACGGCAACCGCACAATGCCTGACACAGAGCACAGAAAAAATAGTATTGGTGTTTGTAGTCTATCCCATAAAAGTATATGATCAAAGATATTTTTATTGACATTTGCATGAGCAAGCATTTACATGTGTCGCTCAGTGCTTTGTGAGACTAATGAAAAAGTACAATAAGCCAAGGGCTTAAGTAGGAAAGCTCAACAGGACATTTACTAATGTATATTGGCTGCCACATCTGTAAAATAGGTTTGATTTGAGACAAAGTTTTAATTATTCAAATCATCAATAAGTCTTTTTCACAAGATACAATTTAAAGAACCCTAATTCCACCCTTTTGTTAAAGAAGAAATGTAATACTGTACATTAAATAGTCATCTGGATATCATCTGTGTTGTGTGTTCTGCATTAGTAAAAGAAACTACAGTTTAGATGCAGCTCATGTTTCCCAAACTGTCGTCTCTTGTTCATGCTTTGTCCATATAAAGTTTTGTTTTTACATTTAAAATATATCTGGTTGCAGCCCAGAACACCGGAAGAATACTCACAAGTTCTGGTGGGAAAATAAGGCCGACCCCAAGTTTCGAGACAAGGTCATAATCGCAGAGGAGGAAACTGAAAGGTAGGCACGGTGAGCCAAGAGTCTAAGGTTTGTTTGGAAAATAAAAGATTCTCTTCATGGATCATTGCTTTTGTTTGTTTTTTGTTCAGGTTTAAAGCTGAAGTGGAAAAAGCATTGGAATCATTTGTGGAGAAGGAAGATGAATTCATAAAACAGGTACAAAATCACTCTTTCCAAAATGAATAAATGACTCATGGTCACAACGTGCTGATGTTAAGCAGATCACCATGTTCACTGTCTTAGTTAAGTGTGCTAACATGCTAAAATTTGCTATGTAGCACTGACACAGTACAGAAGGGCCGACGTCATTAGTTTTGGTGATAAACCAAAGTTATGATTTTATTAGATGAAAACAGGTTAACCATCAGTGGGCCACAATTACTGCAGTCTTTTATTATTAATTTTATTTCTTCAATTTTATTTTTATTTTATTATTATCAGTACTCACATGACACATACTTGTCATATATTGTATTATAATGTCCATACTTATTATATTTGACTATTTTTCTATTTTTATCTTGTATGTATATACCGATATATACATTTCTATGTTTTATGTCTAGGTAAATTGTTAGATATTGTAATATATTTATTATTTGTATTCTTTAATGTCGTGTGAGCACCCTGAGTAGCTGAATCAAACAAGTATTTCTGATTCTGATGAATGTCTGTACCAAATTTCATGGCAATCCATCCATGAAATTGCTAGCATGGCTAAAAAAAGTGTCCTAATGAGTGGTATTTTAACAGGAATATATATATATATTTATATGTCATCTTTTTCTATTTTCATGGCTGCAGCAAGCGGATCAAATCCGGGCCCACGAGAAGCATCGTCAAGAGGTCCTTCAGTCTCTTTTAGAGGTTTGTTTTCCAAGGATGCAGTGGCCGTATCCATCATTGTGGCCATGGCTGTTGTCTTTTATGATTTTGAGTTGCATGTTAGATGGGAAATAACGCCAGTCTCCAGCTAAAGGATTGTAATAAGGTAACCAGTGATTGTCTGAAGATGCTGTTAACTCCTAAAACCTGTGCCTGGTTAAACTTTTTATTTTGGTGGCTAGGGTGGGTTAAGGACAAAGTCATCAGGCTACAGTAAAAATGTAATAAACATTTTAGTTCAAACCTAGATGGAGATGGTGAAAATGGATTGAAATTGGAAGGGAAACAGAGAGACATGAATGGAGAGAGGTTTAAGTTGTGTGTGAGGATCGGGGTGATGAGATAAAGCATGATTAGTGCTCAGACTTCCTCTATGAACCACTGTTGGCATTTCCTGAATCAATATCAGCGGGACGCAGAGTCGGAGTCGTTCAATGGACCCAATGGCACGGACATGTCTGCAGAGGATGCTGTCAGGTAACGTTGTGTCTACCTACGATATTTTATCCCTTTTGCACTGGATCATTTTTACCATTTCAAATGACTTTAGCTGGTTCGGGGCTCATCTTGTCTTGGGAACAGCTCTCAGTTTACACCTCAGGGATCTGACCAGCTGGTGGGGAGCGGCTTTGTCGACACAGTGGTTGAAGCACCGTGGGCTGCAGCAGGAAAAGGCCTGACTTTTATAGGACATCAGGTAGACGGACCACTCTTGTTAATTCACTTCTAATTTCTTAAATTGTTTTTATTAAGTTTAATAATTCATTGTTTTTGGGTTTTTTTGGTTACAGGATTCATCAAACAGTGGAAATGTTCATACAGGTACAGTGATGTTGGATTTATGTAATGCAGAATGCAGTATCTGCAGAAAGTTTGAGTGAGTTGGTAATATAGATGGGGGGGGGGATTCACCATATTTTTTTGAAAAGTTGAGTTGAACCATTACTTTTATCATATGTAAATTTAAAGCATATATGAAATATATTGTAACTTTTGTTTTTAGTTCAACTCTTTTTCTTACCCATTCATATAGAATCATTTTCTAGTCATTTTCTTCAGATCATTGTGTCATCTCGTTATCCGTGTTGTTACCAGACTTAAAGGTTTAAACAGTCACCTCATACATGGCTTTTTCTGTATGATACAGTACCAGTGCTCATTGTCCTTGAAGCTTAGAAAGTCCGCTATTATATCTCATAGAGATGTTAGAATTTCCTCTGACATTATCAGAGGTGGTCTTTATTTCAGGTGAGGCGGGGTCCTCCACAATATAATGCTATGGGACTGCACTTATTTACTGCATGTGCGTTTGGGGAGTTTCTGTCTTGTGTGGGATGAATAATGCATTCAACAATTTCTTAGCCTCTTCTCACTAAGGATTATTGTCCTTCACAAAACATTACAAACAAACATCCTACATGCGCATAGTTGCATTTATATTAAGCAGCAAACATTGGTTTGCTTCAACTTAATAAAACCTTTACTTATTTACTTGTGCTTTTTGTAGCTCATGCAGTAACCCAGCCTCTAAAGACTATGAGCTCAGTACACCCCTTGCGATAAAGAGTAAGCATATAGCCTTTGTGTGTCGTAGGTGGCGTCCCTCCTTGGCTCCAGGACGATCCTCTTGAGGGGACCTCGGGAGCTGCGGCACATCCGCAGATCGGCCCATCGCTCCAAGACTTCCTCAAACAGAGTAAGCATCCCAGAAATGTCTCTAGTTGTGTGATATTACTGCTGCACTTTCAAAAATCATTTCACTCTAGCAAGTCTCAACGTATTTGTATCTGATCTCTGTGATACCAAGATTATATCCATATACACCTATGGAAAAAGCTGTCAAATCTCACAAAGACTGGAGTATAATTGAGATGTCCTCATTTGTTCTTTTTCCAGAGGAGCAAGAGAAGCTGAGGAAGCTTCCACCGAACAGAGTCGGGGCCAACTTTGATCACAGCTCGCATACAGACGCCAACTGGCTTCCCTCCTTTGGTAGAGTGTGGAACAGTGGCAGACGTTGGCAGTCCAGGTGAGATTACAACCTCCCCCACTACATTTGAGACTAACGGCGTTTGGTTTGTCAGTCCTGCGCTGCTGTGGAGGCATGGCAGTTTGGTGTGGTAGCCTAGATTTGTTATAAACGAAGAGTCTTCTCACCCCGCCACATACACTTCACACACATTAAGCCTTAACTTAAGGTTTGCTATCCTGTGTGTTTTTTATTATTGCTACCAGTCACTTTGGTAGATGATCATCAGTGTGCATGGTCTCTACTCGTGGGGTATTGTGAGTGCAGATGTTTTTTAAGGATCAAGTTTTGTTTGTTTTTAGATAGACACCTATTTTTATTTCACTGGCTGGAGACGACCTCCATGCTAATTTAATTTATCAGTGGTCATCATGACAGCAGCACAGTAATTAGCATTTTTCTGTATCCCAGTAGTATTTTAGCGTTAACTCAAGAAAGCTGCCAAAACTTAGATACTAAATACATTTGATCTTATTTCATTAGTATATGAGCCAGAGGAATGTTTACTATTCAGCTCTGTAGGTTAACATCACTGGTCTCTGTGTGTGGATGTGAATATATATCATTATTTTATTTTTTTTTCAACAGGCACCAGTTCAGACAAGAGGAAGGGCAGAAAAAAAGACCGAAGAGGAAGCGGGAACACGGAGCAGAGGGGTCAAAGAAAGCAAAAACAACTGAACAGCTGACAAACTCTGACAACACTTAAACTGAGTGTGTGAGAATTCACGAGTGAAGGGATGTATATAGTTTGCAAGATGTGTTTTTACTATGTTCTGGATGACTGGACACTCTGCTGTCTGTGTTTTTTTTTGGTAAAATTGTATGTAACCTTCTTCCTAACATGGAGTTTGCAGTTAAGATATTAACTTAGTATATTAAGCAGTACTAGTGGCAGTATTGGATCTATTTATGTTATAACTTCACCTTGGATAATTGCCTTGTTGTATTAAAACTCCATGGACCAACTTCACAACACCTTTTGCTCCATTTAAGCGAACTGGAAATCGGCTTCAATCAAAGGTATCGGAGAGGCGAGCCTCATTGACGTACTTTTCCTGCCCAGATTCCTCCAGCAAGTCTGTGATTCAGATCAAGTTACGTTGAGAACAACATCACTGTTCTGGCAAATAAACAGCAGAGGGCGCAAGCCACTCAACTAACCAAGGCATCTGCTGGGTGGTAACATGGTAAAACCATTTACTATATTTATCAGTTTTTAAGGATGTGTATTTCTTTATTTGTTATGTGGCAAAAACAACACTTCAGTAAGTGAGTAATGTTTATTTTGTAGCCAAGTGTATTTTTTTTCTCACTCAAATTCCCATTAAGATTATTTGGTAAGCAACTCTATAATTAGTGTAACGAGAATAGCAGTTCTGTGTTTCTAAGACCTCAGACAATAAATCCTAAATACCTTTACCTTTACCCTAAATGATGAGCTTTCATTTCCCCTTTCAGAGCATGTTACGTGGTGAATTACTGGAAAAGGCCATATGCAGATGTGTGTCACTCTGAAATAAGATGCATACAACTTGTCTCAATAGAATCAGCATTTTAGATTTGTTGCTCTAAAGCTAGAAAACGAATCCCTTATTATAGAAAGAAGGAAGTTAGTCAGTGGAAGTGTCTTGAGTAATGCTTCAGGGACATTTTTAGTTTCAAAGTCAGTCAGCTTTAATGTCAATGCTTCACATTCAGCAGACATACAAGGAATCGAGAGGACGTTTCT